TACTGTGGGATCGGTAAGATTTTTGTAAAGTTTAGGCAAATGATAAAAGACTGGTCCTTTAGGATAGTTAGACAAAGAATATACATACTCTCTTTTATTTAGAATGTCCCTATTAAGCAGTTTATGTAATTCTTCCATAAACTTCACAGTATTTGGTATGATTCAGTGTCATTAGGTAACCAATTATTTTCCATCTTATAGTGAGGTATTTATGATCAGAAGTCCTCCTCGTTTTTCAGCTGATTTAATGGTGATAACATCCTCTTTCATTAAATCATTTAGTTGTTTTCATTACACATTGGTAATTTAGTAAGAATAGATTGAAAACTGCATTTGTTATAAATGTCTAGTTGTACTCAAGAAGGCTTTTACAAACATCACCCAAAGAGGGGGGAGTGACCCATCAAAACCATAACCTATTACATAATTAAAGATATGTTTTTTTGTTACAAAGTTAGGTAATTCCTCAAGTATTTGTAATTCCTCAAGTACTTTATGTACTTTTTCAATATTTTTTTTAGCTTACCTGCCATCCCAACAGAAAAAATAAATATTAAGCAGTCCTCTACCAATGCCAATAATTTATTTCCACATAATATACGTACTGATTGATTGCTTGAAGACCCAATCGGACAGTCTCTCAAATGTGGAATTGAAAGCCTCTAGCTGCAACCTATCTGCCATACAAAAAAAACAAAACACATTAATTGCTCACTTTCTCCACAGTCCTCTCTACAATGACACTCTATGCAATTATCCTCCTTGAGGATCTCCAACTGTGAGAGGTACAGAAGGGGACAAGGAACCAGAGAAGGAGACACTAAAGCAGCAGTCAATGAGTTAAGAAGAGAACTAGGAAAGAGCATTGTCACTGAGGCCAATGTTGTGAAGGGTGTGAAGGAGAAGCAAGTGGTCAATAGTGTTGAAAACAGCAGAAAGATCACAAAGAATAAGTGGCTAATAATTGCCTTGGATTTGCCTTTAGTCATTAGTCACCTTGGTTAGGATGGTATCAGTGGGATATTGGTAATGAAAGCCAGACTGTAAGGATTTGGAGCTTAGATGGTGTGCATGTTGAGTATGCAGAAGTCTTTCAAGGAGCGTGGAGGCAAAGGGAAAGAGAGAGAAAGGACAACAGTTAGGCAAAGAATCTGGGACAAGAGAACATATGCACATGCTAACTGCATGTTTGAAGGAAGAGGGGAAAATGCCAGAGGAAAGAGAGAAATAGTAGTTTTCAATAAAAAATGGGACCATCACAGATGAAAGAGACCTGATTAAGGTGCAAAGGAATGGGATCAATCTATTGTATGTAATGCAAAGTATG